TTTTTTTTGGGGGGGGGGATGCCATGTTAGGCAAATGACGTGAAAAACAAATGACCATGTGATCAGAACATAAATTAAACAAGTAACCACTGAAAATAAATTCCATTAGCGTTTTATTGACTGTACATAATGATTGATTACATTTGTGTGTTTTACAGGGAGAGAATGGTGTGGTCTTCTACCTGAATCTGGATGTTGTGGAGACCAACTGCAGCGTACTCAGCAAGAAAGATTGGAAGAGCTGTGACATTCGTAGTGGCCATACGCAGGTTAGAAAAAACACACACAAACACTGCATGTGCAAATTCTCATCAACAAGTTTACCAAAAATCTGTATGCATATGTAATTAATACATGTGTCAGTCCTGATTTTTTTATTACTGTCTCTTGTGTTCTGCTTAAGGCTTTCTTACAATCTTAAATCTTTCTGTTTTAACATAGTGAGCATCTTAGTTTTGTGTTCCATAAGCAATAGTTCATAAGTTGGCAGGTGAATAAAGATATTTAGTATCACAAGATATTGCCATTGTTCTTTCAACTAACAGTAATACATTTATAAAAAGGTATAAAAAAAAAAATCTAAATAAACTCTTTTGCGAATGTGATGCTGTATGTATGAGCAGTACACTAACATCATGTATTGTATTGTGTTTGCAGGTATATGGACAGTGCAAAGCTGTTATCTTCATCAGTAAGGTACACAGAGTGGTTCGTCTCTACAAATACAAGTGTGCTATCAGACCAGGTATGAAAAATATTACACGTATCAAAAAGAAGTGATTGTGGTTTTCATTCAAATTCAACCATTATATCTACAAAGACATCAAGGTCCAGACTTAGAACATGTTTTTGTGGAGTGCAACAGTCTCTTCATAATTAAAATGACTTTTTGTTCTGCTCAATTCCTGCAGGTAGGGTGCTTCAGTTCTGTGGTGGCTGTCCAGGTTTAACTGACCATAATCACGATAAAGTTCAGAAGGCTGTGACTCAATCTCTGGAGAAGTTCAATCAGCAGAGTGGGCTGGCCAATCGTTTTGCTCTGCTCAAAATCTCCCGTGCTACTTCACAGGTAGGGAGATCAAAATTAAGATGTGTGACATAATGTATCCTCGGCTCTTTTATTGTATAGATATATATTCTCATCATGCACTGTCAAGGCTGAGAATAAGGTGGCAGAATTCCCCTTTACAAATTTACACCGTCATATTTAATGGAAACACACAGAGAAGCTCCTACGCAAAAATTAGATTAAACAACTACAGTAGCCTGTAAGTAAAGTTTGCATAAACTGTGTAATATTTCATAAAGTTTTCTACCAAATCTGGTATAAACAGAAAGGAGGCACATAAATGTTTATGGTAGTGGCACTGCTCTGCCTGGACTGATACTGACTGTATCCATACCTAATCTGGTACTACTACTGTACTGGTACTCTGGTACTTACATTAAGACACATTTTGCTCCACCCACTCTTCCCTGCTCTGCTGTGTTTCATTGACCTGCGGTCACATGACTCAGCAGCACTAAGCAGAACTATGCAGGCTGCAGGAAGTGGACCAACGTATAGAGGTTCCAGGTTCTAAGAAATAAAATGTATACAGTTTTCCATTCATCTTGTCACATTCTAATATTGCACTAAAAAGTATCTCAGTTTTGAAACAACGAGACCACAGCCCAGCAGCCAAGAAGAAACAGACAGAAAACAGAAGAAACAAAGCTAATTTGTTTGTCTCCCCAAATAGTGAGGGCAGATGGCCGCCCCTCCCTGAGCCTGATTCTGCTGGAGGTTTCTTCCTGTTATAAGGGAGTTTTTCCTTCCCACTGGTGATTTCATTACTGGGGTTATCTCTGTATTTTTGTAAGGTCTCTACCTTACAATATAAAATGCCTTGAGGCTATATAAAAAAAAAACGGAATTAAAATTGATTTAATTTAATTAAACAGAACGGGAAATTTCCCACAACTTCCTTAATCACACATTTCTGACAAAAATAAGAACAAGAATAGTGCAAAAAATATTTTTTAAAACTTTAATCTTTTTCATTTTTTTGCATTTGGACTATGTCTTACTTTCGTGACAGGGGGCGCTACACCACCTCCAGACTTGCCAATGGTCATTCTGTTAACTAGTTACTGTGTGAAAAAAGAATCACAGTAATTTAGTGGTTATTAAAATGTATTCTATACCAAAACTTTGCTGTATCCCACACCGCTACAGAACATCACTAACTATGCTGCCCCAATTCTCACACATGATTTTATATATATATCAAGTCTCTTCCTTAATTTGGGCTTTTCCTTTCTCTCT